TTCCTCCTCTTAAAGTTACAGACTTAATGGTATATATCAATATGTACCATAGTTTATTTTCTAGGGACATTTAACATGAACATAAGATGCATACTTATTAATTAGGCCCTTTATACTCAGTGTAGGTTTTATTGACGAAAGCACTGAAAAAGAGTTAAAAGCTTAAATTCTGCGCAAAGGATATCTATCTAGTTAACAGTCCTTTGAATTGAGAACACAACAAATTTTAGCAAACCTTTCATGAGATAGGCAAGGCACTGTAAGCGCAGGAAAAGCAGTAACTGACACGAGCAAAATGGTGCGTTCTAGAATGTTTTTAAGGGGAAGTACAAGCGATCGCTCAGGCAAGAACTTTATTTGTCCGATGTTTCGGATGTGTGCTGGAGTCCATCATCAAATATAGTTTTATAAGTATCTGATGCTCTCTTTGAATATAAGGCTGCGCGTGAATGCGAAATGTCGGGCAGATAAAACTATCGTCCCAACGCTTGTGTCTACCTCCTCTCAAAGCCGTAAGAATTTACATGACGCCAAAGAATGGTTTTTATTTTTTGGATTTCTGTACTTTATCTAACAGTACTTTTGTCAACTTTTGTAACTATTATCGAATACTTAAACACACAATTAGTAAATTCCCGTAGTATTACTTATAATTGAAGTGCTTTGATAATTTGCTTCGCATCACTGTCAACCGGCTGCTGTCATATGGTAGATTGTCATCTCCACATCAAATGAAGATGGATCTAAACTGCGCAGATAAAAATTCGACAACGCCGGCGTTTAAAAATTGGTGCTCAGAAGCAGGAAAATAATTGTGTGATAACCTTTTCATCCTCCGGATCATGAATGATGACAACATCATTTTGCAACTAATAAAGATATTTTGTTGACCCAACTGTGAAAAAAACCTACGACCTCGTTGGAAGTCGAACCCACACAGCAGGAAAGGCTTTTGCGCAGGCAACACTCTAACATTGAGCTACGAGGCTCACCGTGCGCCGTGAATTTGATTAGACTTGGATCGATTTTACCCGTCCAATTTACTGCTTATATGGATTCCAGCACTACGGAACAGCGAAACGACTGCCCAGGCAGGATGTCCTAAACAATCATCTAGAATCCACCAAAATGACTAGTGGGCTCATTTAATTGTTAGGGGGGTTTGACAGAGGCCGCGATTTTTTCACAATTGGGTCAACTAAATTAAGCCAACCTGCCAAACTCTCCTAATAATATATATATTTATGGATCCTGACAGTCTTATTCATGAAAATAAATTATATTTAGTGGCTCTAAACATGCTAAGCTAGGATAAGGATACCGAAAGTGGCTCGAACAAATAGTGAAAACACTTTGTTGCTACGATTGAGAAACATAGCGTACAGTAAG